AAAAAAAAAAAAAAGAAAGAAAGAACGATGCCCTTTGCAGCAGGGAGGAGGAAGGACAACAGATATAGGGAAACAAGAAGAAACCTTCTTTGCCTCCTCTCCCCGGGAGGATGAAGCCTGCTTCCCTACTCAGCTGTTTGCTATAATCAAATAGTACAGACTGGGTGACTTAACAGTTTTATTTTCTCACAGTTCTAAAGAAGCTAGAAGTCCCAATGTAACTGAAAGAACTAAGTTTGAGCCACCTCTCACCACCAAATGACAATAAAGTAGAGATAGGAATTGAATCTTTAAAGTTGTGCTTTAATCAGAGAGCCTACAATCAGGAAGACCGATGGTTAACATCCTAAAGAAACCACCTTAACATTTCACTTCCAGCTGCCTTTTTTTTTTTTTAATATTTATTTATTATGTCATGTCAATGTGCATGGTTATAAAGTGAATAAATAACTGCAAAGTTTCCATTTTAACTTCCTAGTGATAAAACCTACATAAACAAAACTTCTCTGAGCTCTGGCACAACTTTTAGTGGAGTAGTGCCGACAACCGCCCCCTGGTCTTCAGGAATCCAGCGTGGCGGTATCTCCTCAGAGGCTCTGCCAAGGCAAAGAACAAGCAGCAGTTCCACTGTGCCCCCGCGGCAGAGCTCCCGGCCACCCTGCACATGCCCACAGAACAGGGGTACAGGCCAGATATCTCAACTTCTTGCCACCAAACAGACTTTTCTGCTCCCGTCATTCCTTTCCAAGAATGGCAGGCCTCTTCTAACCAAAGACCCATTGCTTCTGTTGACCCCCTTCCCAGGACAGTATCCTGAGCTGCTAGAGCTTTTCAGAATGCATGGGGAGAAAAGGCATTTCACAGTGGGACAAGGGCACTAACCCTTTTCAGTTTGCATGATGGTACATCATCAAAGGGGTTAATAATGCTGGAGTCACTGGGGTACAGGCCAAAGGTGTGGGGGCAGTAAGAGGATTCACCAGATTCAGAGCAGGGAGCAGAACAGGCCGACTGAGGAAGTACACTGTTGAGGGAAACAGCGGACAGGGCAGTAGAGGTCTGCCGCACTATGTGGATCACCTCTGGGGCAGGGGATAGACCTCATGTTGAAGTGGCTTTAGCTTCTTAGTGCTGTGCTTTAACCCGCTGCACCAGAGAACCCCCAGCTGCCTTTTTATAGTGAGTTGAACAAAAAGAGTTCAGCAGTAAGCAGGCTTTCACTGCTGCAGGAGATTGTGATGTCCAGCTCCAGAGCTCCTTAAACTGCCCTCCTGGACACCTTGCTTCAGGCTTGCCCCACTGTGCTGAGGCTGGTCTTCAGATAGCACTGGCACCACACTCCTCCAGGCATGTCCTTGGGCTGGAAAATTGACTCAGAGCAGACAGGCCATAAGCAATATTTGTGTGCAGATGTCCTACTGTACCATGCTTATTGTCTCACCCAATCTCCTACCTCTTCCTAGACCCCATCACCAGCTTAAGGTCTGTGAAATCTCTCTTCCTGGCTTCCAGAGATTTCTTCTTTGTATCTTCATGTGGAGTGTGAGTGGAAAGAACAAGTTGTCTGGTGCCTCTTCTCATAAAGCGACTAGTCCTACCCTATCCTCGCTCACCTGTATGACCTCATTTAACGTTACATGTTCCCTATCTACTGGAAGTTACGATTTCAACACATGAATTTGGGGGCTAGCGCAATTCGGTCTATAAAACCTTCCTTCCTCGGGGCTTTAACAATGCCTTGCACTTACTGTAATCTGTACCATGTTGTGGCTTTAAGTTCTAGTGAGTTGAGTCAGGAAGAGTCCCAGGTCATGGATAGGAAAGGACTCAAGGGGCAGATTTTTCTGACATACAAGTGTTTAAAAACCTGATGGCTCTCGGCCTGGACACTTGCTGCCATAAATTCTCTTGGCTTATTGTGGTTTTTTAAAAAAAAGATTTATTTATTTATGCTTATAGAACTGGGGTACAGGCCAGAGGTGTGGTGGGTGAGAGGATTCACCAGAGACAGTGGGGAGCATATTGACAAAGTGCATTGCTGAGGGGAGCAGTAGACAGGTCAGAAGAGGTCTGCTACGCCATGTGGTTCAGCTCTGGGGCCAAGGATCGAAGTTGTGCTGCAGTGACTTCGGAGAGCTTCATAATGCGGTGATTTAATCCATTGTGCCACCAGGAAGAGCCTGTTTTTTGTTTTTTAAACCATTTCTAAGTGGTCTTTCCATAACTTATCAAGTTTGCTGCTATTAGAAGAAGCAGGAGTTACAGATTCAGGGGATCACAGATCTTGAGACCAGATCAGTTCAGACTGGAGCTGTGGGCACATAACCTCTATGAAATGTTCGCCTTGGAGATGGTCACAACCCTGCAGACCTCTGAGCTGCAGCTGATTGGTGCTCCCAACTGGACTTTTGCCAAGTCCGCTCTCTTTGCTGTCTCAGCCAATAAAGTTGAATTCCTTGTTCTCATACTTTTATCAGGCAGAGTGAGAGGTGGCCCTGATCTCCAAAGCTGCCTGCTCTAAATAGGTTCTTCCATCTGCTGCATCAAGACAAATTATACTCTAGTGTGTATGATCTTCAATGAAAATAACATAACTTTTAATACAATTAGTGTGCAATATAGACAATTTGTGTACAGAAGGAGAAAGAATATAGTTAAAATAGTTTCCATTTAAACATCCAGTTTAACACCTATCCCCTCATGGCTAAATGATCAAACAGGGTTGGCCCAAAGCAGAGCCACTAAGATCTGAAAATTTGCCTTACATCTAAAGCACCTTCTGGCAGGGAACCATTAAAAGGAGGACAGAAGGGACCAGGAGAGTCTGGAAGGAAAAGCACAAAACCAAAATGCAAGTCAAGATAAAGGCTGCGTTGTCAGCTCTCCCTCTCCCCAACCATGGGTTTCTCACCCACATCTCTTTCAGATGTTTCTTTGATGGTCCCAAGTCCCTGGCACAAGTCCAAGGCCAGGAAACAAGCACCGCTTCACATGTGTCTTCTTTCCACCTCTCTGCTTCTTCTCCTGCCTCCAGCCCTTTTCCCAATCACTTCTAGCTTACCTCCTTGTCCAGATCCACTCTTCTGTAGGGTAGGGCAGAGAACCTGGAACCTTCCCTTTCCCTTGGGATTACATTATTACAACACCTCAAATGAAAAACTTGTACAGACCCCCAGCTCTAGCACCTTGGAGAGTCACTCTCTTGCATATCCAGAGAGTTTCCCCCTCCACCTCCCACCCCCAGAACTTTCTTTCCTTGGTCTTTGCTCTTTTACTAATCAATATATGCTGACTCCTTGCCTGGGATCACCAGTGTCTGTAAATCCCACTTTTCAGTCTTGACCACAGGGTCTCAAAAGGCCCCTGCACTTGGGGGCAGGTCCCCTAAGTCCATCCCTCTGATTTACAGTGGGTGGAGCAGTAGAGTGATGGCTTGCCAGACTGTGTTGTGGAGAAATCACAACTAGGGGCCCTAGGCTTACTCCCTTGTTTGATGACATTAATAATTTTTCTGATTATAAAAATAACACTCAAAGTAAAAAATGTAGAAAATGCATAAAAACAAAGAAAAAAACCATAAACCTACAACCTAGAAAAAACATTATTAATAGGTTGGGGGGTTTTGGTCTTTTTCTGCCCTGTGTACATACATTTAAAAGTACAGTTTGGGTCCAATAAGATTACTTTTTGGTAAGAGTTTTCTCAAGATAATTCATGTTTTACAATTCACCCATTTAAGGTGGTATACAAATCAGTAGTTTTTATTATATTCAGAGTTGTGTAATCATCATCACAACCAACTTTAGAACAGTTTTATGATCTCACAAAGAAATCCCTATCTTCCAGTTGTCAACCTTCCCATCCCTTATGCTGTGGACAACCTCTAATGTACTTTTCGTCTCTGTAGATTTGCTTAGTTTGGGTATTTGATACACATGGAATGATTCAGTATGGTGGACTTTGACTGACTTCTTTCACTTACATACATAATGTTTTCAAGGTTTATCCATGTTTTGTCACCTACCATCCCTTCCTTTTTCTTTTAACAACTTAATTGAGTTGTAGTTCACATACCTCAAAATTCACCTATTTAAAGCATACAATACAATTATTTTTAGTATCTTTACAGAGTTGTGCAACTATTACCATAATCAGAAGATTCATCACCCCAAATTTCACTGCTTTTTTATAGCCAAACAATATTTCATTATATGGTTATACCATATTTTATTTATCTACAGGTCTGTTGGTAGACAATTTCACCTTCTTGATACTATGAAAACTACTGCTGTGAACATTTGTGAATAAGTCTTTGTATGGACTAAATATTTTTATTTCCACAGGAGTGGAATTGCTGGGTCATAGGGTAACCCTATGTTTTAGCTTGTGAAGATTGCCAGACAAACCATGTGATATTTTTATCCTGATTTTCTCACTTAACATTAATCATGTGCATTGTCACAAGTTGTTAAATGTTATTTGAACATTTAGTAACATTAATAAAAACATGCTTGGATTTTACTATTTGCCGAGTTCCACATCTTAGTTAACCAACCCCTTATTATTGGACATTTGACCATTTCCAATTTCCATGCTTATTAACAGCATGTCAATGAACATCTTTGGGCACTAATCTTTTTATGCTTCCCCTTCCCTGGTTATTTCTTGTATGAGATTAATCAGACCATTGGAACAGAGGTCACAGGCAGTCTAGAATGCATAATAATAAATTGGCTTCCCAAAAAGTTATGTCAGCTTCCATTCTGTATGTTCAGCTGGGAATATCAGCTGCATATCTCCTTCTATTTCAATTGCCTTCCAAGGTAGATCAACAGGAAAAGAAGTTGTTTGGGCACCTTTGATGCACTGCCCAGCACAATTTTCAGCACACAATATGAGTCTGTGATGAGTGAGAGCAAAGGAAGGTCCCAGTTAGTGCAATGGTCACAGGGTGTCAAGTCACAGTGAAGGTTGTTTCCACAGGACTTACATGGGTAACTGGAAACTCAATTCAGACTCAAGTGGCAATAAGGCATCTCAACAGCCAGAATCCTCAACATGAAAGGTGAAGTGACTGATGGGAGGTGAGGAAGGCTCCATAGTCATTTAGGGTCAGACCCTGGCAACAACTTTTTTTTGTATTCCACTCTATGAGCAGCAGTCTTTATGCAAAGTGCTGGGAGAATTACCTTCATGGAACTAGCAAGGTCATCAAACTCTCTGTTCACTTGGATATTCTGAGGAGAAACCCAGTAACACGCAGTGCATTATCACTTTCTGAGAACTTAAAACATTTTACTTATAACACACAAAAGCTCAAAGACCATAGGGGGACTGTTTCATTCCAAATTCTGTGTTGTTTTCATTACACTAAAAGTTTCTGATAATAACATTACATTGTATTTATTGAATATGTATTTTGGTAGGACTATTTCATATGTGTTAAGTAAATGGAAGGGATCAGTTTTTTTCCATTTTTCCGCCATTAGCATCAATGATCGACACCTGTGGTCCTACACGCATGCCCGATGGCAGCACCTGGCGTGCGCTGTGGGCCTGTGTGAGTGGGCACACCTGAGCCAGAGACTGAGCATATAAGGGCAGCATCACAGAGGATGGGGTGCAGCAGCTGGGGGTGTGTGGGGAGCCTTTGCAGAGGGCCATGCAGGGGAGTGCAGTAGAGATCAGCGAGAAGATGGCAGAGAGAGTGGAGGTTCACAAGGCTGGGAGTTCCACCAGCCTACCGGCCCCCTGCCTACCCCCTCCCTGCCTGCCTGCACCTGGCTGCCTCACTACAAGTGGTGCAGAAAAATCATTAAAAGCCTGAAAAAGCCACTGAGGGCTCCATGATTCTCCTCTACCCATCTGCCCGGATCATAGAAAACCTGCTCTGTGCCTTTCTAGCGCTAAAATATGCCATTCCATTTTTTTGTTTTTTAAGAATGTTTGAATTCAGTGCTGGCAGGAATTCTTAAAGCAGAAGGAACCTGGTCAAGGGACAAGTCTCTGGCTTTGGAGTTGTAGAGACTAAGCAGATGGAAGGAAACAATAAGGACGTTAGACATCAATTGTTCTAGACCTGAGGGATCAGAACTATAAAAACACATCTCTGGAAAGACTTCTACTCAAATTTGGGTTGAAATAAACCAGGATTAGAATAAGCAGGAATAAGCAGTAATTTGGGGACTGTGGTGATGGTGCACAGGTGAATTGGTGGTGGGAATTCTATGGGGATTACACCTGAGAAAAGAAAGCAAACCATTTAAAAAATGAACAATGATGTAAACTATATACGAATAAATAAATTGTTTAAAATAAAAATTAAAGCAAACAACAATGGTTACCAAAAAAAGAATAAACTGTGATTTGTGACTTTCTTTTAATAGTTTGCATTTGAGGATTCTCTCTTTCAAGTTTAACTGGGGAAAATGGCAGGTTTTTTTTTCCTCCTATATTAAGAAGGTGAAACTTAATGAAAAAGGAGCCTAATCCACTTCAGCCACACAAGTGAATTTTCCAGTTTCCTGATCCGCCAACAGGCAGTCAAGCCAGGTAGAGAGGCGGATCACCTTACAAATAGTGCACCTGCAAATCTAAACATCAGCAAGCAATGAGCATCATGCTGCTGAGCCTCTCTCAGTTAACAGAGAAACTGGGAGTAGCCTGAGGAGTACATGGCAGTACGGTCATCCGTGGTGTATAGCGGAGCCAGAGTGGTATAATGACCTACTTTCAGACCTGGGGCTAGAACTTGGACTCGACCATCTGGGCAGGGACCTCCATCTCTCTAAGAAATACGAACATCTCACAGGACTATTTAATAAGAAGTGTAGTTTGTGAGAAGTTCTTACAGAGAAATCCAGCAGTTCTATGGCAGACACCGGGTTATCTTGGACAGACTTGAGAACAGCAAAGCAGCCTTCACTTTGCATAGGATTTCTCGACACCTAAGAAACACAAACACACACAACTCTAAGAGAAGCTGAGCCTCGGAAGTAAGACAGTAATGCAAAAGAGAAGGAGGGGTATCTGATGACATGGCTTAGATTGGCCCCACTGTCTCAGCTCAGAAGGTGTCTCCTTCAAACAAAAGGAGGAGAAGGAAGAGGAAGGGAGTGAATGCTGGTTGAGGACCACCCAGTGCCTGACTATGAGCTGGTGCCAACGATATAGACAAGACACACCCCAACCTTTAAAACACTTACCTGTTGGAGGGAAAGGAGGGTAAGGGAATGCAGTGTGATCAGTGCAATGAGATAGTGCACCCAAACACCACCTGGGAGGTAAAGGTAGAGGGGGGCAGGATAAAACACCTGAGTGGAAGTTTACGGTTGAGGTGGGAAAGAGCAGCAGGAGCAAAGCAGAGGAGAGATAAAGCGCTGTGCATGAAGGATTCTGAGCAGCTTGGAGAGAAAGATATGAGCTGCCAGTAGGAGGGAAGGACAGTGGTAGGCGGAGCTTCGGCCCTGAGTGTGAAAGATGCACTATTATGCTTGAATTTATCCAAAGGGAACCACACCGAAAGGCTTAAAGCAGGGAGGCACAGGGTCAAATTTCTATTTTAGAAAAATCACCTGGGGGCAGGTAGGCAGTTTTGGAAACTGACCAGCAACAGAATTCAGGGAGGGAAAGTGAAAAGCAGGAGGAGAAGGCTGCCTAAGCATTCTGTAGATGAGAGATGAAGAAGGGTAAATATGAGAAAGTGGGACAAGCACTAGGTTCCAGTTTGTGATGACAAGGGGAAGGAGTGGTCACAAGAGGAAGCCAGGAGATGTCCTTCCTGAAACCCCCATCTAGATTCTGGAATATGCATCTCCCACTGCTATTTTGCTGGGGTACAAACTCACCCCCACCCCCATTAAGCTAGTACTCACAACAAGGATCCTCAGTGTCTGGTTGACCCGAAGGCCAAGGCCCAGGCTCAGGGCGCCTGCTGCAGAGATGCGGTTGTTACTGCAACAAAAAGACAGGTGTGTTGTGCTACCTTGCAAACAGCTGTGCAGAGCCAGGCCACTCCAAGGTCACAGTGGGAACTGCGGGCTCAGGCAGCTGGTCAGGTTTCACTTTTCATCTCCACAGATACCCTGGGAACCCTGGAGAGGTTAGGTCTAAATGGTGGATAAGGATCATGTTTTATTGGTGGCTCTCAGTGTTGTGGGAGATCACCCAGCCAAAATCTATCTCCAAGGCACCCTTCACCCTGGTAGAGACCAGTCGCCCTCAGAACTAAGCAGTTGCCATGTGTATGCCCCATCTAGTACTTGCATCTATGACCACAACAGCGTCTGTTCTGGAAAACTACAAAACTCCTCCCCACATCTGCGCCTCTTCATCCCACTCTGCCCCCTGGATCTAAACTTTGGGCCTCAGCCCTGCTCTGGCCACTTGTCTCCTGAGCTAATCCCACATCTCTGATTTCTCAGACCTCAACACTGGACTCGCATTTCAGCACCCCTCATGGCCTCTTCTGGCCTTTGCCCTCCCATGGGAGGGAAGGTGGGCAGGATTGCAGCAGGCAGGCCCTGCTCACTCTAGTAGCCCCCATGGAGGGGCTTGGCCACAGGAGACCATGGCCTGACTGATGTCTCCATTTTTTTCCTCTCTCGGCTTACAGACCCTGCTCTGGTTACCTACTGAGGCTGATACCATGCCAGAGGCTAGAAGAGCAGCTTGGCATTCCTGCAACAGTCATGTGCTAAGCAGAGCATGGGGAAAGGCCCACTTGTCAAGGCCCTGCCCAGCCCCACCACATTCAGCTTCTGAAAGGGAAGAGCATAACACAGAGCACCCACATACACCCACAGGCTCTGCTGAAGTTGCCTCACTTCACACCAGCTACCTGTGTGGTAGAAAACATGAGCCCCAACATACAAATGATGAGCTCAAGTAAGGACAGATCCGGGTGCTCCTTGTGGCCCAAGCTGCTGATTGTGGTAGGTTAGAGAATTTAAACGGTGAGAGAGAAGAAAGATTACCATGGAGACCATGGTCTGCAGGCTCTGGAGACTGACACAAGCAGCACCCTATTCTCACCTCATGTTGAGTTCCTCCAGCACATTGTTGGCCTTGAGCGCATCACCTACTGCAGAGGCACCAGAATCTCCAAGACCATTGTAAGAGATGTCCAGGACTTTCAGGAAGATGTTTGCCTGGAGCACAAAATAGAAACACCATGGGATCACATGAAATGGTGGAGAAAGCCAGGAGCCACAGTCTCAGGGCCCAAGAGACTGAGGTGTAAAGAACATCGGCCACGTGTGGAAGGGCAGAGGTTCCAGGGAAATTATGTGACTTGGCTGGTGGTGACCAGTGTAGTCCAAGGCCAGAAACATAGTGCAGAAGGTGGATGTGGATGTGAATAAGCCTCAGAGAGTGGGGATTGGCCACGTGGCAGCAGCTGCCAGAGACATAGTGCCCAGGCCTACTTGGGCACCCCTCAGGGGTAGGTGCCCCAGCACAGAGCAGCACAGGAGCTCAGAGGAGGCTCCAGAGAAGGCTGTTGGCTAAAACCTATCCAGGGGACTGTGATAGAAGGAAGGAGGAGTGCTTGTGGGTATACTTGATGACAGCTGACATGCCATCTTGTGGGGAGGCCCATAGGTCAGCCCCTGTCAGAGGGCAAGGCAGCAACATCCATTCCCTGAGAAGGACTTCACAAGATTGGCACCAGAGGCACTGAAGATACCTTGTGCCATCCTGGCATGTTCTTAAACAGCCTATATACATGCCCAGGAATGCCAATGTATCTTCTCACTGCCCGATGCTCCCCACCAGCTGAATGTCTGGAGCAGGTACTCAACATCAGCTTGACCCTTCATAAGTGCCCTGAGAGTGCACGCAAGAATGTCATGGTCATTAAATGGAGCCAGGGAAATCAGTCACCTAAGAAAATATTCTTTAAGCTTCATTTAAAGATCCAAGGATTGTTCTTGAAGAATGACACAGGCAAGGTAGTTGGGACTGGGAGACAAGCCCATGGGGCTGACAAGGTAAGATCAGGTTGTGGGGAGCTCCTACCTCCAATCCCTTGGCAAAGGCTATGGCTCCTGGGCCTCGAAGGTGATTCCAGCTTATGTTCAGCTGGGTGAGTCCTGTGTTTTCTGCCAGGGCTGGTCCAAGTATCTCCCCTTCAGAAACACCAAGGGAGACCTTATTCACTCAGTTCATTCCTTCAAAAAATGATATGGGTGCCAAGGTCTCTGCTGGGCATGAGAATCATAGAGCTAAACTGAACCCTGTCCTCAAGGAATTCACACTGAATGGAGGAGGTACAAACACAAAGTAATGGGTGGGAGCTAATATAAATCATAAACCCTGGTGGCACACCAGCCTGGTGCAGCTATCACCAGCCACTGCAGCATGAGTTCGATCCTCTGCCAGGGAGGTGACCATATGGCACAGCAGACGTCTCCCGACTCACCCTCTGCTCCCTTCAGCAGTGTGTTTCAGTAGATCTGCCCATTCTGCTGCCTACTCTGTGCCCCCCCACACACACACACCTCTGGCCTGTACACCAGCCCAGTATGCATTAATAAATAAAAATAAATATTTAACTACAACAAAAACTATAAACAAGGATGCATAGAAGAGAGTGGAGCTAAACTTCCCTGGGGGCGGGAGGCAGGAAAGTGAGGCCAGAAGAGCTAAGCTTGGACACATGCTCATTCATGCACACAAGCACAAGGGAGAGCAGATGCAGAGCAGGAGTACATACTCCAGAAGCATGTACAAGCCTGAAGCTGGAGTGCGGGAAAGTTAGCATAATGAGGTAGGAGCCATGGGCACTTGAGAGAGGCTAACAGACCTTGAAAGTCAGGCCAAGGATCTTGGGTACCACACTATAGGTGAAGAGGCAGGAAGGGCTTTACAGTGCAGGCTGGGTTCCTTAGTAGAGGATGTAGGGGTGTCCCTGGGTGAGCAGGGGCAGAGATGAGAGCCTAGGGTGGTGCAGGGCCCAGGGGGAACACTACAAGCCTGGAGCAGCTGTGGAGGAGTGAGGCAAGTAGCAAAGAAAAGCAAAGGAAGGCAATGCAGGGTAAGAAACCTTAAGAGATATGTAGCATGTGGAATGGGCAGAAGCCCCACCCACCACCCTGCTCCCCATTGTCAGCCCTAAGCACCAACAGTAACATGCCTCTGGGCTGTCACTCTGTGAGGAACTGTTGACCCCCTTTACCTGGTTAACAGGGGTCCTGCCATTAGGAAGACTTGCCTGCCTATGTGGCCCCAGTCCACTGGGTTCCCTCCTTCCAAGCCCTAGCTGTTAGATTTCTCTCCCATCGACCTGGGAGCCCCTCAAGGATTTGAATTTGACCCCTCTCCATGGACCCAACCCTGAGCATGGGTGTAGTAAGGCACAGAAAGAAACACAGCTGCTAACTGAGGAGAGCCTTCAGTCTGCTCCTTCAGAAAGGCCCTCCTCTCCCACAGAGAGCTCTCTGCAAGGGAGGGAGGCCTCCCTGTGCTGCCTTCCTGAAGCCAGGACCAGCACTGGGTCTGACACCCTCAGGTACTCAATTGTGGATACTTTACTCCTTAGGCATTTTCAGGGCTGGGAGGAGAGGGTGGTATGCTCCACTTTGTAGTGTGACCTTTTCTTGATGACCAGTTAGAAGATGAGAAAATTCTAATGTTTGATCTTAATGACTGCTGTAGACAATCTAAGAGGCAGTGACTACCATAATTGTGTGGCAGGTCAGGAGACTAAGACCCAAGATCTTTCACCCCTTAAAGGAGTCGAGGCCTCCCCCACTCCCAAGGGGAAAAAAAGAGCTCCTTGAGTGTGTCCTGCAGAGCCAGCCCCAACCCCATATCTGTGTAGCCTTTACATGGTTTTGGCTTCCAGTCTTGCCATGCTGGCTACCTCTCTGTCACTTGTGCTCTGACCGCACAGGCCGAGGAAGTCTGAAACAAGTTTCTCTGGTAATTTTACTGGTTCTCCACAAAGATTTTCATAAAAATGGACTCCCTGGCAATTCAAGTCCAGGACTGATTTTCACAGGCTGCCACCTCATTACTCTCAACAGTTTGAGACAGGACAGTGTTTCCCAAACATTCAGAACCAGACAAGTCTTCTGGGGCACCCGTTTAAAATACAGAGGCACAGAAGCCGCTCAACCATCTGGTTCAATGGGTCTAGGGTATAGAAATCTGTATTCTTAACCCAAGACCCCAGATTAATCTTATAATTGGTTGAAGACAGAGACGTAGAACTACATGTTCCTGGCAAAGTAGACAGCCTGTGCAAAGGGTATGAAAAAAAAAGTGATAAGATTAAGAAATCCCACTGGTCTCTTCCATTTAGAATAAAATCTTCCGTGTAAATTGAAAAGAAAAGAATACCCAACAGCATAGGTACGCATGTAAACTGCAATAAGTAAATAAATCTTCAGGCCTTTTGTCATGACTGGTAGCACTGCAGCTCCCTGCTGTCTCTCCCCTTCAGCCTAGCCACTCTCCCGTGGCTCCCTAGCTCAGTTACACTGGGTCTGTCAGTCTGGGAACAGGTCTGCATGCTCTCTGTTCCTCACTTGAAATACTTTTCCTCTGTCACACTGGTTGATTTCCTCCCACCCAGCCCATTTCAGCTCAAATGTCCACCTCACAGAGACCTCCCCACGCACACCTCTCAACCATTCTTCTCTAGAATCATACCCACTTTGTTTCTTTTGTGGCATCAGAATGATTTTGTTCACATGTCCTTGAAGGGACTCTGTTTTGCTCATGGTTGGACCCCAAAATCAGCACCCAGCACAGGCAGTAGACAATGAGATATCCGTGGGAAGAATTAAGAGCTGTGTGTGGAAAGGGAGGGAGGGGGCCGGCCAGCATGGGTGTGTGAGTGGAAGCTGAAGTATGGCCGCTCAGTGCAACCCTGTGAACTCCCACCCTGTCTGGCTGGACAGTACCTGCTTGGTCACTTAGTTGGTTATAACTCAAGTCCAGGGATTTCAGGCTTGTATGAGAAAGCAGAAGTTCAGCAAGGTGCTGGGCTGCCTGCTTCTCCAGGTGGTTCCCTGCCAGCTGTACCTTCTGTACAACTTGGTTCACCATGAGGGAGGCACAGAGGGCTTGGGCTCCCACTGGTCCCAGCAGGTTCTCCGACAGGTCCACATCTGGGAACCAGAACAACCCCCAAGTCAGACAGCTCCAGAGTCAGGTCTACCTCTTCCACCTGACCTCATCCTCCAAGCTTCCAGGCCTGAGAGGCCTTGCAGTCAGACTGTCCTGGATTTACATAGTGATTCTGCCACTCTCAGGGCCCAGGCAGCTCCCCAATCATGTGTCTAGAAGTGTCCTTGTCCTTGGAGGGGCTAAAACCTCTGAGTCTACAGAACTGGGAAGGATGCCTGCCATGGAGATGCAGCCATCTCTATTGATCTTGCCTGAGAGCCATACAACTTACCCACAGAAGCCTGGGAAGCTGCATTTCTGGGCATTGGCAATTACAGCCCTGGTGACGATGCAGTTACATGACTCAGACTCTCTGTTGAGCATGTTATGATTCCCACAGCTCCAAGAGATGGGTGGGATTATTGGGGCCACTTCACAGATGGAAAATTGAGACTCAGTGAGTTTGAGATGTTTGCCCTGGGTCATCCAGCTCTTTGTGGCAGAAGCAGCATTTGAATACAGCCCTCCCTCTTTTCACAACTCCCAGGCCCCACCTCTCTGTGTCAAAAGACCCTCCCTCTCTCATTGAGATCCCACCAAATGCAAAGGGAGGATGGTTGCTGGCCAGCAGAGGAGAGTGAATGGGGTGGGATGGGTCAGAAAAAGAGATGCCCAGGGCCCTCTCTGGTAGTACAACGAGTTAAAGCACGGCACTATGAAGCTATCCAACCACTGCAGCATGAGTTCTATCCCCAGCCAGAGAGATGATCTACATGACGTGACAGACCTCCCCTGACCTGTCCGCTGTTCCCTTTAACAGTGTATTGCAATGCATATGCCTGTTCTGCTCCCCACCCTGTCTCTGGTTACTCCCCCTGCCACCCCTGTACCTCTGGCCTATACCCCAGTTCTGCATGTATAAATAAATAAATCTTTAAAAGTGGTGCCCAGCAATAGTTGCACCAGAGAGGGTGCACTCCCACCTCCCCTCCCCTGAAATGAGGTCCCAGCAACACCAGCAGCCCCCATGTGAGGGCCCAGTGGGGGAGCTCATATCCCTCAAGAAAGGAAGGTCTCAAGTCTGCCCACCTGCCTCAGGCTGAGCACCTACCACAGATGCTGCTGTTTTTGCTCAGGGCACGTGCCAGGACTTCCACATCAGCCCCACAGAGCCCATTGTCCCGAAGGTCCAGCCGCCTGACATGGGGATTAGAGGTCAGAGCAGAAGCCAGAGCCTGTGCCCCCTAGAACAGAGGAGAGGAACTGGAGGGGACTGTTCCTTCCCAGGACTGAAGGCTCCAGACACAGCTGGTTACCACCTCAGCTCGTATGCCTAGGGTTCAACCTACTCAGTGCCCTCCAGCTGGCAGGCCTTCCCCTTCCCACATGCTCAGGGGCTACTCCAGCATCTTACCTCCAGGAGCCCTCCCAGACACCTCCTCCAATGAGGAGCCCCCTGCAGACTCCCAAGTCAGTACACTTTGTTATAGCCTGGATCCCATCTGTCACCCAGATGTGGGGGATGGGACATGCCTGGCACAGAGCAGGGCTGGGAGTATAAGGGGCAGGTTCAGGAAGGGCCACACCCATGGTTGTTTCCCCAGGTCCTGTCTCCCAAATGTGGCATCAGTGTCCCTCCAAGTGTACCTGAGGCCCCAGGCCACGGTGTCTCAGATTGAGCTCTAGGGAGCTCTGCTGGCGCAGAAAGCAGGAGGGAAGCACACCACCACGAGCCCAGCAAGACCCCAAGTAGTGGGTGTCCTTGACCATCTCTCCAAGTCCATGGGCAACTGAAAGACACAGGGACAAATGTGGATCCCTCTGCAGGCACAGCCTCTTCCCCTCCTCTGTCAGGTGCTTCCCCTTTTGAGGCAGTTCTTCCTATGCAGAGGACTTTGAGTCTCACGGAAAGTAAATCCTTTCCCCAAAGTCACACAGCTGGTAGAAGCTAATCCTGGCAGAGCCTGTCTGTCAAATGCCAAAGAGCATACTGTGTCTTTCCTATTGGATTGCAGACCACACACATTTTGTGGACATTTCATCCGGTAGGGGAGATGAGTAACTGAAACAGTTCTAAGTTCAATACATCCGTTAGCTTAGTTTTCCCAATGGGCTGAGAAAACTCAGCTTAATTCTATGGGACCTCTTTACACTGGTGGAATTTTTTTGCATGTTGACATCATTCTGGAAGGAGATTTTAATAGTGGAACTCCCTCCCCATGATACCAGGAACCAGAAGACATTCTCCCCTGGTGTCCTACATAGGGGTATTCTCCCTGATGGACAGTGGTTCCGTGACCGCTGGGCCCAGATTGTCTCCTCTACCCAGGCGGGAAGTTCTCAAGGTGAGGAGACTGGCCCGACACGGATCCTGACCGCGCCCCCCTCCGGAGCACCTCGGGTGGTCTCCAGGTCGGAATCCGAATCGGTGCTGGAATCCTCCTTGGCCTCCGCGACCCCTGCAGGACGCCCAGAGACAGCCGCAGCCGCTTTCTCCTGCTCTTGGTTTCCTCCCGGTGTCTTGCAGGGACCCTTCATGGTTACGGGACCCCCCGGCTCCACACCTAGAGCGCGGCAGGAATGCGGGCAGACCTGGGCTGCATCTACCAACCGAAGGTAGCTTGCTGGGAACGGGCGCCGGAGCCGGCCAATAGAGACGCTCCCTGTCGCCGCGGCCCGGGTAACCCGATGTTGTTGGTTGCAGCACAAATTGCCGCAACAAATTCCCAGCCAAGGCGCCTGGACTGGCCGGCGCCTTCCCGTGCTTCGTTGCCCTCTGCTGCCCCACATAGTCCAGCCCTGCAACCGGCTGGCGAGCTTGCCTGACACCAGAGCTTGAGTCCCCGCGCTTGGGGGTGGGGTGGGAGTTGGGAAAACTCAGGAATGCCTGGGAGTCTTGCAGAACCGGCCGCCTGCCCCCTCTGTAACCGGATACTCCCCAGCTGCCATTTCCTTCTCAGGTTCCAGCCCTTGCTTATGCTCCAACAGGAAAACCCCTCTTTAGAGTTGCTTGTAGAAACTTCAGCCTCTGTAAGTGTCACTTTGAAAGTCACCTCTTCCTCTGGGCTCCTGCTACCCCACCCCAAAGTACCTATAACACTTGTCATCCTCTCATCCCCCAAGGAAGTGAGGGCAGTGTGCAGGGGACAGGGGCTGCTCCTGTCTGCATACCCTGGGTCTGGCAGAGAGTCTGGAAAAGGTAGGAGGTCTAGGGCAGCTGGAGGTAGGAACTGAGCCCAAGGTTGGTGGGTGGAAGCTGGATCCTGCCCTAAAAGGAAGTGTCCCTTTAATAGCTGCTGGCCTGGCCTGGCTCAGGCACCTGCGTTGCCTCCAGTTCAGCTGTGGCAGCAGTCGCTGTGCTGACTCATGCACCCCAGCAGCCAGCAGGAACCTGGAGCATGGGCTCCCCAGGGGCCGCGGTAGGCTGGGGGCTTCTGGATTACAAAACTGAGAAGTATGTGATGACCAGGAACTGGCGGGTGGGCGCCCTGCAAAGGCTACTGCAGCTTGGGGCTGTAGTCTACATGGTGGGGTAAGAAAGTGGCTCCTGGAGGGCTCATAGCTGGTCCTCCTGGGTTGAGGGTCGAGTGTCGAGGGACTGACTGCTCAGGGGCCAGACTGGTGGTAGAGGGGGGAGATTGGGCACAATAGGAGTGAAGGCAGGAGGATTTCTGTGTCTAGAGGCAGTAGGGTTACAACAGCAAGCTGTGTGTTTGGGTCCTCCTGTGTGCCCACCCACTTCCTTTCCTGGGCTTTGTCCCCAAGGCCTGTTGGGTTCTGGCCACAGAGCTGATGGGCCTCATCTTGCTAAGAGTGCCCAGGGTGCAGCAAGAAGTTGTCCCTGACATTTGTGAGAGCTGGAGCACTAAGGCCCAGGAGAGAGACTACAGTTTCAGCTGTGAGTCAGAGGAATTTAGCATGGTGGTGGGGGTGGGGTGGGGGGAGGGTTGGCAGGTGAAAGAGGTGGTGGTGGGCATTTTGTCTGGGGCCACTGGCTCTCTGACATGTGGCCAGAGCTCTGGTCTATGAGGGTGTCTGGGTTGGGAAATGAGGCTGGAGAGGAGGTAGGGACCCTGAATGTGTGGGGAGAGAGGCTGAACGGGTAGCGGCCTCCCTGCCACACTCACTTCATGACAGGGATATACCACATTGCCCATCACCTCCTTCCCAGGTGGGCCCTTCTGGCCAAAAAGGGCTACCAGGAGCAGGACCTGGACCCCCAGACTTCTGTCATCACCAAACTCAAAGGGGTTTCTATGACCCAAATCAAGGAGCTAGGGGACCGGCTATGGGACGTGGCTGACTTCGTGAAGCCATCACAGGTGGGTACCTCAGTGGTGGTGCTGCGAGGCACTACCCTCTAAGAGCAACCCTGCAGAGTGTGTACGTGAGAGGGGCCACAGGGCTGGGCTCGGGAAAGACCTCACTGGACAGGACTTTCAGGATGCCTGAGAGATTTCCAGGTGGACCAGAGGGTGGGTCAGGAAGCCAGCCAGAGGTACTGTGTGTGCAAAGACTGCATGTGGATGAGTGGGGTCTCTGGAAACTCAGGCATGAGTTGAGGGTGGTGTGAAGGGGCCTGAGGGCCCAGGACTGAGAGTTTCCTGAATGCTCCCCTCTTGACCTGGGCACTGCAGTCAGATGCTCCTTCCCTGCTTCTCTCACGGTGCATTTCTTGAGCAATTCTCCGTCCATCCAGATGGTCCATGGCTTCCTCCTGTCTCTGTCCTGCTGATGCCCAAACTGTAGCCTAGTAACCACCTATCCCAGTTCAGGTAACCACCTGTCCCTGGATGCATACTCTTCACTCCAGAAAGGAATCATCTCCCTCTCCCAGTGGCCTCCTTTCATTCATCGAGGGTCATGATGTCCCTCAGTGCCAAAGCTGGATCTGGCTCAACACCTTCCTGTCCCTCCCTCTTATGCATTTCATTCCAGATAGTTTTCATTATCACCTGCACTGCTGGGCTGGGGCTGGGTCTTCTGGTGGGTCCTCTGTGCATTCCCCACAGCAGCTGGGCCAAGGTTTCTCACGAAATCTTAGAGATTTCTCCAAGTCTGTCAGCACCTGGTTTCCACACTTGTAAGGCTCCATATCCTACCTACTACCATACCCCATGCCCTCTGCTCAGTCCTCATTTCCCCTTCCTGGGATGCATTTTCCCAAATGTAGAGAGTTGACTTCTTGCTCCCCCTGGCCCCTGCTGTGTGTGGGTCTACCTGCTCATTATCTTGAGTGCAAAGGGCCAGCTCAACTCTGGATCTTTGGTGTTTACAAGCAGATTTTTAGAAAATTCTGGTTGAACAAATGGGAGTGAATGTGAGAAATAAACTTGTCTCAAAGAGGTGGACATCAGTTCAGAAAAGGCCAGAAATCTATCCAGCCTCCTAGCTCTGCTTGAAACTGTCACACTGTAGGTGTCCTCCTGGGACATAGGTTTGATCAGCAGAAAGGGCCAACACCAAGCTGCCAGCTTCTGGACCCTCCTGTTGAGGGAGAAAATTGGGGCTGACTCTGACAATTGTATTCTAGGGTGAAAATGTATTCTTCTTGGTGACCAATTTCCTTGTGACACCAAAGCAGGTTCAGGGCACATGTCCAGAGGTAAGGCTGCCTGGGGGGTCTCCCAGGGGACCCTTAGCCCCTCCACCAGTCCTGGGCTTTTTTTTTTTTTTTTTTTCAAATAATTTCATCTAGACTTTACAAATACCCTGCCTGGTAGGAATTATTGTGGCTCCCACTTTGGATGAGGAGACTGAGGTTCAGGGAGATTAAGTCACTTGCCCAAGGCATCTCAGACTCTGGGGAACAGAAGCCATGTACTGTTCCTGTGCCCCCCACAAGGTGTCCGGGCTTTTCCCACCCTGGTCCTATCTCTGTAGACTCTAGGTTATCAGAGAGCTGTCAGAACTGGGTATCACTCTCAGGTGGGCTTTAATAAAAAGAAGCAAATTGGAAGATCAGCTCCCCATTTCTAGGCGCAGTCTCTGTTAATGTATTGTTTTTTGTAAGTAAATACAACACATTCTTGTTTACCACTACAACTATGATCAAGCCAGAGTCCTGAAGCCTATTCTTGTTCATTTCTCTTCCAGAAATGCAGGTTTTCCCCCTGAAATTTTATACTTTTCCTACAGGGACCCAAAATCTGTCACAGAGCACTCTTGCTCTCCTACCCAACCTTGGATGTTTCCCCCAATTTTTAAAATTGTGATAATATACACATAAGACTTATTATGTTAACCACTTTTTTTTCGTTTTTAAGACTTATTTTATTTATTTATGCACACAAGAACTGGGGTGCAGGCCAGAGGTGCAGGGGTGAGAGGATTCCCCAGAGACAGAGTGGGGAGCAGAACAGGTAGATGTACTGAAACACACTGCTGAGGGGACAGTGGGGAGACAGGAAGGGTCTGCCGTGCCCTGGGGGTCACTCCCGCCAGGAAGGGCCTCAACATATTAATCACTTTTAAAAGTACAATTCCCCAGCTATGGATTTTGCTTGAACAGTTGGAACTGAGAACACGGCCCTGGAAGCCAACCTCCATGGTGATGTTTTTCTGTAATCAAATCCAAAATTTAATCATTTGCTGGAATCACGGGTACCTGGTTACCTGTCCCCTGAGTCCTGATGGTTGGTCACACTACAGTTACTGGGGGCTTTGCAGTTGCCTACCTTTGGCCCTGTTACACAGAAGGTGAAGTACATGCACAAAGGTAGTTCTTACATTCGGCAGACATGTACAATGTTCTCCCATTCTAAATGCTGAGAGAACATCTATTTAATGCTCAGTTTGTAGACTGTCTTGAGATTTTGCTGGGGCTATGGTTGTATGCTTTCTGGAATCCATATGATTTCTCTTTGCCCCATGTCCCAGCTCCTGATCCTTCCCATGAAACAGCTAGGACTGGGAAATAATTCATCAAATCTGCCAGCCTAGTTTCCTGAGAATAACCATTGCCCTTGCCAGCTCCTTTTGGGGGACTTGGTTGTCTGGAGCCCCCACCCCCACTCAGCACATGCACTGAGTTCTTTGTAGTGTTGCAGCCTCCAGCAAGCCTCTGCTGTGCTTCCTACTCCTGGGCCAGGCCATATGATGAGTGTGAAAAACTCCACCAACCAGCTCTGGGAGCTTCTGCACAGACAGCCCAGCCAAGGTGTTGGTCTTGTGAGGGAGGCACAGGTTGAAGCAGTAGTGGGCCTCTGTGGTCTCTCAGCAAGTTTATGGAGCTCTGCTTCCCAGTCCAGGAACCAAAGCGTTCCACCCTTTGTCTGCCACCTGGTGCCTCTACCTTGTGTGAATTTAACCTTGCCAGGGTTCCCTCACCTTCCCTGTCCTGTCATCTGAATTAGACCACAGGAGTTGGGTCTCTGAATTACTTCTGCAAGAGTCTCACTCTCCCTTGGAATATATCATCTGCTCTCCCCCTTCTACCACTTATTTTTATTTGCACCCTCAAACTCAGGAGAGATTGGGGGCAGAGGCAGGGAGGGTATGTCCCTATGGACTGTGGCACTGGGTCACAGAGAGGAATTACCCCTGCGTCTTTGGTAACTCTGCTCTCTGACCCACCTCAGCACCCCTCCATCCCACTGGCCAATTGCTGGGCCAATGAGGATTGTCCAGAAGGAGAGACGGGGACACACAGTCACGGTAACTGGGCTCTGTATTTCTATGCCTCCTTTAGGAAGTGGGGTGGTGGGGTTGTGGGTTGGGATCCTGGGTGGTGGCTCCCATGTCTCTGTGTCTCTTCTGTTTGCCAACATCCTTTTTGCCCATCCTCTTTGGGCCCAGTGTAGATTTGAAGGACTGAAGTCTGTCTTGTGTTTTCCAGGTATAAAAACAGGTCAGTGTGTGGTTTTCAATGGGACGCACAGGACCTGTGAGATCTGGGGCTGGTGCCCTGTGGAGAGTGGCACTGTGCCAATGTAAGTCTCTTCTGATTTCCAGGGCGAGGCCCCAGGTTGGGCCAAACCTACCCCTCATCTCCTTTCTTCCTACAGGAAGCCTTTGCTGGTCCAGGCCAAGAACTTTACACTGTTCATTAAAAACGCAGTCACCTTTAGCAAGTTTAACTTTTCCAAGTAAGTGTGACTGGGTCCTGGCTAGCCCGATTCTCAATTCTCCCTTTCCCTGGTCTGGTCTGATGCCTGGCTCCACCCCCTCTCAGGTCCAATGCCTTAGAGATCTGGGATGACACCTATTTCAAGAGTTGCCGCTATGACCCCCACTCAAGCCCCTATTGCCCTGTGTTCCGAATCGGGGACCTTGTGGCTGCAGCTGGAGGGGTCTTTGAGGATCTGGCATTGCTGGTGGGTCCATGGGAGGTGGAATCTGAGAGGACTTGGGGAGAGGGTCCCTGATTAGTATGTTGGTGGAGCAATGATGTGTCATGAGCAGGGCGGCGCTGTGAATATCCACATCCGCTGGGATTGCAACCTGGACAGCGGGAATTCTGACTGCTGGCCCCACTACTCCTTCCACCTGCTGGAGAGAAGCTACAACTTCAGGTGTGCCCCCCAGGCCTCACCCTCTGGTCCTTGCCAAGGCCCCCCTACACTGTCCTCCAGTGCCAGCCAGAACAGACCACACCAATACCCTGCCCCTCCTCCTATGCCACTGTGTGTGTGTGTGTTGGGGGAGGGGCCGTAGGGGCAGAAGGGGGTACTCTCAATTCCAGGCTCCCCAGCATAGGCTCCATCCAGCCTCCCTCTGGAGCCCGTGCCCCTCTGATCTGTGTCCACATCTCCTTCTGCAGGAGCTCAGACTGTTCACCCCACCCTGCCTTAGCATCTTACCTCCACAGCACTGGGACCTGTCTTGCTTTTTCCTAAGGTTTTACTGAAAAGTTTCAAAACTCTATAGAAAAAAAAACCTAGAAAAGTCCAAAGATAAGTCCAAAGATAAGTACTGTGAACACCCATATTCCCTTCATTTGGGTTTACAGGTCTTTTCCTCAATACTGTTCTGAGAATGAGTACCACCCCCCACCCCCACTTGATGGCTGTCTTATCCCACCTAAGAAATTTCACAGGGACAGAACAAATCTAATATTTAGATTTCCTCAATTGTTGGAGTCTCTTTGTCCCCAATCACGGATTATTGGGGGGCAGAACAGGCAGGGTCTCAAGGTGGGAACAGTGTTGGTGAGTGGAGATTCCTAGAAAAGGGGGGAAAAAGGAAAAAAAGGGGAATGGGCATGAGGAAGATATGGGAATGGGCTCTGCCTTCAGCAGAGGTTTATTTTATACATTTTAAGCAGGCAGAGGGATGACACAAGCTATGCAACCTCTATCGACTGACATATTCCGGATAGAGACAGAAGTGCTCTGAAAAATCAGACTTTCCACGCTAACTTATGTTATGACCTCCCTTCTTTGTATAATGGTAATATTAAAATATTCTGAGCATGGCCCTCCCTGGTGGCGCAGCGGGTTAAAGCACAGCAATGAGAATCTGAAGCCACTTCCGCATGAGTTCGATTCCCGCCTGCCTCTTGCCCCGGAGGAGACCACATGGCGAGCCAGACCTCTCCTGACCCCCCCACTGCTTCCCTCAGCAGTGTACTTCGTAGATCTGCCTGTTCTGCTCCCCACTCTGTCTCTGGTGAAGCCTCTCACCGCCCCTGAGCCTCTGGCCTGTACCCCAGTTCTGTATGAACAAATAAATAAATAAATCTTTAAAAAAAAAAAAAATTCTGAGCAACCTTCAGCTTACAATTGGATTGCCTCAGCCTCATAAGGTGCTACCTGGCCCTGACAAGCAAGTACTGCACCAGGGTGAGAAATTCCTCTTGAAGTCAAAAGTGATTTGACAACTGGCTGAATAATAAAAACAAATGGCTGTTACTGAAAAGTCTCTCTCACTGCCAGACAGAGGAAAACCCAAACCTTATCACTCTACCATCTCACATAGCCTTCTATTCAGTTTCTAAAGAACCACTCAAACTTTCTACTGTCTAGCCTTTACATACGGAAATTCACCCAAGTCATCTATTCAGAGCTAATCAGGTTTTCTACCGTGTAGACTTCAAAAAAATTCACTTAAGCTTTCTAACGTTTTTCAAAGAACCTTACTGTAATTTGACTTACAAGAAAATTTCCTTTTCCTGCCTTTGCTTTCCTTTACCTCCTAGGATGTCTCAATTAGAATAAAAACCATTAAGTAGTAGATAAGGTTTAAGGGACTTTATTTTGGTTAATCTTCACTGTGGTAAATATAGTAATACTAGTCTTAAACTTTGTGAAACTATGTACCTGTTTTAACCTGGGTAGATTAATTTTTAAAATGTTATAATCTCAACTAAAGGTCAAAACAACTCCAGACTATTCTTTAAAAAAAGGTGATTGTGATCTCAGCCTATTTCATATGCTAATGTCAACCTCATGCCTGCTTGAAATGTATAAAATAAACCTCTGCTGAAAGCAGAGCAGGAAGACTTGCACCCAACTCCGATCCCCAAGTCTTCCTCGCGCTCACTCCTCTTTTTTCCCATTTCCCCCCCTTTTCTAGGAATCTCTGCTTGCGGAAGCCGCTCCCACCTTGAGACCTTGCCTGTTCTGCCCCCCAATAATCCATGATCAGGGACAAAGAGTCTCCAACACTCAACTCTGCCCTTTTAGTACTAAATCTTTCTGTTTTTCAATCTAGGATGTGCTCAAGGAGCTTGCACAGCTTTTACGATCCCCAAGCACATCCTCACCTCCCCTCGCCCACGACATTTCCATAGCACAGGTCCAGAGACGGCACCACTGGACAGTGCTCCTTGGCTCTGGCTGGTCTCACTCCACTGATCTCTCCAGCCCTTTGTCACTATTTGGGGCTGCTCCCTGCTCATGTTCTGCTCCTCACTTCTATGCTCTCGCTGGCCTGGTCTTGCCACCTAGAACTCCTTCATGACCCTGGGAAACCAGCCTGAAAGTCTCCCCTGCAGGAAGCACCCCCAATTCTGAGAGGGAAGAGGGTCATAGCCCTGGGATTGTTCCCCCACCACCATTGGAGTCTGTTGCTGGATCTTTCCGTCCTCCTGCCCCCTTAGCAGGGGAGAGTTTATCCAAGACTCGGGCTTGGCTGGGGGTTGTATGGGATCACTGGATGGGCAGAGGGAAGCTTGAGTCACCCTAGCCTGGGGATGGGCACAGCAGACCACCAGAGCACTCTCTTCTGCTTCCAGGACAGCCACTCACTGGTGGGAGACCTCTGGCGTGGAGGCCCGGAATCTGCTCAAGCTCTATGGGATCCGTTTTGATATTGTGGTCACTGGGAAGGTAGGAGGGGCCAGAGGGGCAGGTGGGCGCTTGGTGGCCCAGAGACTCAACCCACCTCTCTCTCAGGCAGGGAAGTTCGGGCTCATCCCCACAACCATCACTCTGGGCACGGGAATGGCTTGGCTGGGTGTGGTGAGTCTGGCCAGTGTGGAGCCCCTCTGTCTGCTGTGAGCTTGTGTCCCTGCCTGCCTAATGCCCCCTGTGCCTGCCCTTGAGTCTCTAGGTGAGGATGCAGCAAGGCAGGTGGGGACTGGAATATGGATTTGTGTTGTCTTTCTCAGATCACCTTCTTCTGTGATCTACTGCTGTTGTATGTGGATGGAGAAGCCCAATTTTACTGGAGGACCAAGTATGAAGAGGTGAGCTGTGGTTTGGCCTGGGTCCTGAGTTCTACTACACTTGGGAGAACATGACTAGAGTCCTGACTTACTGTACTCACCTGCAGGCAAAGGCCCCGAAGGCGACCGTCAACCCTGAGCAGACAGAGCTGGCTTCCATATCCTCACACTCGGTTGCCCAGGTGTCTTAGAGGGGACCCTGCCCTCTCGGTTGCTGCTGCTGCTGGGAGCTGAGAGTGATGCCAGGGTGGCGCTCTCAAGCTATGGGCCCAATTGTCAGTTTACTCCTTTCCCCTGCTGGTTGGGGGTCAGGAAAGGGAAGGGTGGGGACTCCACCCTTGGGACCTTATGGATGGGGCCCCCCTGGGACCAGAGATGGGAGGAGAAAAATCTACCCTTCACTTCCCAGGAAGATTGTCCTCCTTTGACTCCAGTCTCTCCAGGGTGACAGAAGTCAGCTTTGTGTAGAGACCTGCAGCAGACTAAGAGCACAGAGAGGAGGGGAGCTCAGGTCCCTACACTGTAGGGTGCCTGGATCTGGAGACCAATCTCCCAGGCAGTCACCAGTGTTTGTAATAGCAGCCCCCTTATCAACTATCAGTAGTAAACACTGGTTCTGGTAGACTATAACCCTGGCTAGTTTCCATTCCTCCTTTCCCACAGTGTGGGGGGTATTGAATGAGTAGAGCCCTAACCCTCTCAGATGCCTTTCAATGGCACCCCGGCAACCAGGGCAAGGTAAGCAGAGCTCTGACTCCTCACAGTTTGTTTCAGCTGCTCTGGTCCCACCCAACTTTGGAACTCAGCGATGGAACAGAGAATGTTCCAGGCAGATGACCCAACCTCTTAGGATGCTAGGCAAGGATGAGGAGCCTATTTGGCCCATACCTGCTAGGGCACTTCCCAGGGGCAGCCTTGGGTTATGGAGGGCTGTAATGAAGAGGAGAAGAAGGAAGGCTGGTGGTCACTGAGGTCTTCTGTATGACTCCTGGATGACCCTCATACCAACCCCTGGAATCTGGACTTCCTAGAAAGTCATAGGAGTGAGGAGGCTGTACATCTGGAATTCACTGCACTCAAGCTCATGCCTAAGTACATGTTTTGGCATCTGCTTACCCCTCCCTGAAGCAACTGCATAAGGGAGGACTCGACAATGACTTTCAGACCTGCAGGACCTAGAGGCAGGAAGGAAAATCCTTAACATAGGATGCCGAGGCCCTTAGCCTGGTCTGGTTCTGACTGGAATCCTTCCAGGGTTCCGAGCCCTGCCTGATGGAGCATTTCCCTGGACCCAGGCCCATGGGCAAGAGAGGAGGAATGGGGGCGCAAGAACCAGGACAGAGGCAGGGATGTGGGAGTACCTACCCAGAGAGGTGAAGGGCTTTCTCACGGGTGCCTGGTAGTCAGGGTGTGCTGACAGCTTGCTGGTGGAGGAACATGGGCCAGACTGAAGAGGGGTAGGGTGCGGCTCAGGCTGTGCTAGCATCTGGAGTCATCTGACCCTTGAAGCCTCAGCAAAGCCGTGGAGTCCTTCCTGCCTCTCTGAGCAGTGTCCACGAGCAGGTGGGCTGGGGTGAGAAGCATGGCCCTGAGGTGTGGGGATTGGCAAAGGGTCACAAATACCTTGTTGTTCTCAGAGCCTAGTGAGAGCTGATGTCACCACTGCAGAACGTGCAGAAGTAAAGTCTACCAAAGCCAGCAGCTTCCTGTGTAATCCTTGCAGGCAGGAACAGAGAATTGGAGGTGTCTGTGATGAATGTAATATGGCCACCACAGATGGTGTGGGGGTACAAGGTCAATCTGAAGACCCTCCCAAGGACTGAGGCCTCACAGCCCCATGTGCTCAATCCTGAGGCTTCATTGCAAAGCCTTGGAGGGGTAGGCAGAGAGAGAGAGAAGAGAGTGGGAACTTGGAAAGCGCTATTGCCTCATTCTGGCTGTATTCCCCAGGGTAACCGTGTGGACCACGTGTTCATGTGATGCTACATCTCTGGGTAGGCTTCAGGGACACAGCATGCTCTCTGAGAGCTCTGGGAAACCAAGGGAACCCAGAACTCCACTGCTTTTCTCCACAGCCTTCTTGGGGCCCACTCTCTGCTCCCTGGATCCACCCCCAGGGGGCAGGGATGTAGGGGTGAGCCCACCCTTGCCCCTGTCATGGACTCCTCTGTGCCTGTGCATCTGTATCTGCCCTCTGACAAAAGGTGGGACTGGCCTGAGGTCAGGATCCCAGGCCCCAGGCCCAGGGCTGTCTCGCAGAACCTTGATGTGTTTATTGGGGAGGACAGTTACTTGGTTCTGTGGGCATGTGAAGACTCAGTACTGCAAAGAATGCAAGACTGGACACGGCAACAGGCCTCATGGCAGGCCAAGCAGTTATTATTGTGGATCTCCCCTACCCACCCCCAACCTCACCCCACTTGCACAGGTAGCTGGAGTCATAAACTGAAAGATGCTGGACAAAGAGACCGCCATGTGTTGACTAAGGTCCTAAGGTCCTGAGGACCCCCAGCATGGATGGACATGCCTACAAACCCAAGCTGTCTCCCAGAGAAAAGGCTCCCAGCCTTTCCAGCCTCCTGAGGAAATAGGGGTGGCAGAGCAAGAGTGTACAGGTCCCCAGCTGGCTTCACGGACTGGCAGGCTGCACCATGAGGCCAGGTTCCTGGGCTGGGGCCTGGCTGCTGGGCTGCACAGCCTGTACCGTCTCCTCCAGGCTGCCGCTGGGGAATACCACGTAGCGCGTGGCAGTCAGCCCTGGCAGCTCCCGCTGGTTCTCCTTGCTGTGCCAGATGCCATAGCCAAAATAGACCGCAAGTCCTATAGGGGCGATACTAGCCTGAGGGGCAGGTCCCAACCACGCACACCCTCCTTGCCCTCCCGAAGCCCAGCCGGAGTCATAGCCTGACCCTCACTCACCAAGCAGCAGCCAGATGGAGAAGCGCAGCCAGGTCAGGTAGCTCAGCTTCAGCATGAGGCAGATGTTGAGGAGGATGCTGAGGGCTGGAGTCAAGGGCACCATGGGGATCTGAGGGGCAAGTTTAGGGGTGGGCTGGGCAGCAGGGAAGGTCTGCGAGCCCAAGGTCTGATTTCTCAGAAGTCCACAGAACCTCTGGAGATTCTGAAGACAAATGCCCACTTGCCATGCCATGCAGAAAGAGGAGAGTGGACATATTATCCTCCCCAGACCGGTGAGCCCTTGTTCCCTCTGCTGTGGAAGAGGAGGAAGGGGCAAAGGGAGTTGACTGAACCAAGAGGGGTGGTACCTGGAAGGTGTCTTGCCGACGCTGTTGCTGGTGGGCCCCCAGGACGAGGAGACTGAGCAGAAACACAACAGTGCTGAGCAGGAGCATTAGGGTGTAACCCCAGTACGGAAGGTGGAGGGACGAGTGTCCAAAGACCAGCACACATCCCAGGGTGATGGCTGAGGCTACCAGGATGCCAAGTGCCCAAGACACAGCAGCTCCAGGGCTGCAGGCACCCAGGAAGCCCAGGTAAGGCCTCAGGGCTGGCTTTAGTTGCCCAGGCTCAGGGGCCAAGGCCTGTTCCGTGCCCACCAGCTGTATGCAGTCTGAGAAGGAGTTGTACTCTTTGACAATAGGACCAGGGCTGGATGGGCCTGGAGAACAGGATGGGGGCGCCTTCTGGAAGCGTAGCACGATAATACTGGCAGCCACAAAGGTATAAGCCAGGAGTGTGCCAATGGACAGGAACTGGACCAGTGCTTCAAGATCCAGCAGCAGTGCCAGGAAAGCCATGAGGACCCCAAACACCAGGATGCCCACCACAGGCACCTGGGTCTGGGGTTGTACGCGGGCAAACACCTGGAAGAAGAGCCCATCGGACGCCATGGCATAGACGATGCGTGGCAGGGAGAAGAGGTTGCTGAGCAGGACAGTGTTCATGGCTGTGGCAGAGGGTGGGGGACTGATCAGCATGGTGGACAGGCCTATGGGGATCAAAGCTGGGGGTATGGACATGGTTTGTATAGGAACAAACATGGACATGAGATTGTCTGGGTTTTCAGAGTAAGGTGCAGGGCTGGACTGTCACCTCCCAATCAAGAATGGGACACCCCAGTTTGGATGACAGGCCCACTGAATTATCTGATGAAGGCCGAGTGCCTCTGTCCAGGAAAAGACCTGAAACACAAGTGTAGACTGACAGTCTATGTACAATTTGGGGTTGAGGTTAGTAGTTTCCTCCCAAAAAGCCTGAGTCAATGGCCCAATAATTAGTACCTTCTTGGGTCACGTATGCAACTGCTAAAGCTGAGGTCTAGACGGACATGTGTCCCCTTGGAGGCTTAGGGCAGGGCCCCTCTGCTCTGTTCCCTCCCGCCTTGCTTGGTAGGCCCTTACCGCAGATGGAGCCAGCTGCCACAATGAAACCAGCCCAGCTGTAGCCCCGCCGGTAGAAGGCATCCGCCAGCGCCGAGTCAGGGTCCAGGCTGTGCCAGGGCACCATGAGGGTGAGCACAGTGGAGACGAGGATGTAGGCACCAGCTGCCAGGCCAAGTGAGATGGCAATGGCCATAGGTACGGCCCGCTGAGGGTTCCGGGCCTCCTCGCTAGAGGCAGCGATGACATCAAAGCCCACAAAGGCATAGAAGCAGGTGGCGGTGCCAGCCATGATGCCAGAAAAGCCAAAGGGAGCAAAGCCGCCCTCTTCAGAGCTCCAGTTATATGGGCGGGCCAGGACGAATCCTAGGATGATGATGAAGAGAATGACGACCAGGCTGATGGCAGAGAAGGTATGGTTAAGCCAGGAGGAGACACGGGCTCCACAGGAGACGAAAGCAGAGGCCAAAAGTAGGATGCCAGCAGCCAGGAAGTCTGGGTAGCGGGCTAGGAATGGCACCTGCCAGATGCCCACGTGGGCCTCTGTGAAGTTTCGGATTTGGTGACTGAAGATAGCATCCAGATAGCCGCTCCAGGCTCGGGCCACAGCAGCACCACCAATGAGGTACTCTAGGAGTACATTCCAGCCGATGAGGAAAGCCCACAGCTCTCCCATGGACACGTAGGTGAACAGATAAGCAGAGCCTGTGCGGGGCACACGAGCCCCAAACTCTGCATAGCACAGGGCTGCCAGGAGGGAGGCTACAGCTGCCACACCAAAGGACACAAGCACGGCAGGACCAGCCATCTCCTTGGCTACGGTGCCAGTCAGCACATACAGGCCTGACCCTACCATTCCACCCACGCCCAGCAGGGTCAGGTCCAGTGTGGACAGGCAGCGCCTCAGCGATGTCTCCATGGTCGACTCCTCCAGTGGTTTCAGCCGGTTCAGCTTTTGGCAGAAGTGTGCCAGTCTGTTCATGCTAGGCAACCCAGGGGCCATTGTGGGCAGCTGAGAAGAACACCAAACCAGCCCCCAGCACCTACCAGGGGCAGAAGGGGAATAACAGGCTGTTCATCCAGGTCCTGACCAGCCTTTAATCCTTGCTCTGTCCCTATCTGGGGAGCCCCGGGGCTGGGATGCACAGTAGCCCCCCCCCCAACACACACACACCCCACTGCCCGCTCCCCCCACGCAGGAAGTCACAGGGAAGCTTGGAGATCCCAGCTGCTTCCCAGGCAGGGAAGCAGATGGCGCCCTGCCTAGGGTTGTTTAAGGAGCCCCTGAGGGTGAGGAGGAGGCAGCCCCAGTGAGTGCCTGAAAACCATTCTGAGGTATAGGATCACCGGCCAGGTGGAAACCTGAGGCTTCCCGGGAGCCGGGCCAAGCCTCCAGGACCCGGAACAGGATGGGCTCTGCGGCCCTGGGCGTGGCTCAGGTGGCCACCTGGCCTCTGACAGAGACAGACACTCTTCCTGCCCGCCCGGTCAGACTAGGGTATCAGCACCGTGTGCCGGGAGGGGGAGGATCCCCGCCCAAGCCCCCAAGCCACGGCCCCGCGCCCTGCCCTGCGGCCACTGCTGCCAGAGACGGTTCCGTTAAGCCCTGATTCCCCGGTACCCGAATCTTCACCTCTTCTGGGACCTGAATACGGCTCTGCAGGAGTTGCTGAGACCCACCTGCTGTCGCTGCGGCCACTCTGCGTGCTGTGCCAGCCCCGCCCGCCGCCGCGCCGCCGAGGCTGCCGGAGCGCAGGGCCCGCCCCCACCCCTGGCGCGGATCTAGCGCAGGGCACCGCGTCGCTGGGTAACGCACACAGCACAGAGCCCACCCTACCCGATCAAGACCAGGGCTTAACAGGGTGCTGGAAAATCCTGCCTGGTTCACAGATGAGGAAATCCAGTGGGGCAAGTTAAGGTTCCTTTGATCCCTTTTCCCAACCCAGTGGATATGGGTGGTGTCCTGCTGGCTTTGGGCAGGCCTCTGGTGACATGAGGTTATAGGTCTGACTGAGGGTCCTGAGCAATCCATCCCGAACCCTCCTCTAAGGAGAAGATGAGCTCCTCATCCATTGGTTGAGAAATGCACTGCTTTAGGGAGTGCCCTGTGATTGGGCAGAACTCATGCTAGTAGCTGTGAACTTTCAGCTGCACTGTCCTGTAAGGGAACAAGCAGAACACCTCCAACTTGGGACACCCCGAGGGGCCCTCAATACTAAGGGCATCCTCTCCTAGCCAGGCCTGGAGGTCCATAGGGGACCCCAAAACTGCTTCCCACTAGTGAGAGGTACTGTCCTAAGTGCCTACCCCTTGCCAGTTCCTACACCATGGGCATTATTTGACCATCACAAATTTCTGCAGGCATATATATTTCTAGGGAGAAGGCATCTTTGTCCTACTATTTCCATTTCTTTGAAGGTGAAAGACTATAGTTTTTTCATAGTGTAGGACGTTTTTAGCAAAATGACGGTTTATCCAAGCAAGGCAAAAACCAAGGTATTCTCTCCACCTACATTTTAAAACTTATTTCCAGGTTTATATGTGATTCATGGAATGGAATTTTAAGGTCAAATGAAGTCTGTCAGGATTAGTGGACTTAGCCAGCTTCCATGGCCCCCTCTGATATTGGCTGAAATTATCTAGAGGAATTTGTCAAATGGATTCTCCCTTTCTGCAAGAAAATGACATCTTCCTAACCACTTTCATACTGCTTAAACATAACCTAGATGTCCCTTCTTCTAAAATACTCCCTTAAAAATATAGAAAAATACTGGGCCCTCCCTGGTGGCACAGCGGGTTAGAGCACAGCACTGAGAAGCTAAAGCCACTTCTGCATGAGTTCGATTCCCGCCTGCCCCAGAGGTGACCCCATGGCGTGGCAGACATCTCCTGACCCGCCCGCTGCTCCCCTCAGCAGTGCACTTCGTAGATCTGCCTGTTCTGCTCCCCACTCTGTCTCTGGTGAAGCTTCTCGCCGCCCCTGGGCCTGTACCCCAGTTCTGTATGAACAAATAAATAAATCTTTAAAAAAAAAAAACAAACTTTAATTATGACTAATGGATGGGCCCGCTTCATTCTTCAGGCTCACTTTGGGGAAAGTTATCTGTTCCCACAGCTATACAGGCCTAAAAAAAGAGCATGAGAAAGCCATTGTACATGAGTGAGGTACTTCTCTCGAAGACAGTAGTAATAGCACATTTATATTTACTGACCATAAAATTAAAATATAACAAACGTTTTTTGAATGCCCATGTATCGCCAGGTCAAATGTTCGATACTAATGATTACAGATGCAAAGATCAACTAGGCCAAGGTGCTCCTCTCAAGAAGGGGGAGGCCAACAGGCGAAATAACTGTATGCACATGACTAACGGCAGCATGGTAACAGTAATGACAGATTAGAGCCCATATTATGGGAATGCTGATGACATAGCTAAGAGTTTAAGTGTGGAAAGGTCACACTCAAGACCATTCTTGTCACAGGGTGAAATACGAGTCTGGGCAAGTTATCAAGCAGCTAAGGCATAGATTAGCAATCTATGGATCTGAATCAGTCACACTACCTATTTTTGTCTGGCCTTTGATGTAAGAATGGTTTTATATTTTTAAATGGCCTTTTATTTTTTTAAAATCAGGAGAATAATTATTTCACAGTACATGAAAATTATGTGAAATTCAAGTTTCAATATCAAAAATAAGGTTATATTGGAATGGTCATGCACATTTCTTTATATATTATCTTTTTTACTCCTGTATTGCAATGGAGCACTGACTAGTTCAGGTAAAGA